GGGGCCGCGCCCGACAGGTTCCTCCTTCCGCAGGTGCTCCGGGCCTGCGCCGGCGCGGACGCGCCCCGCCTTGCCGCCGCAGCGCACGCGCTCGCCGCCAAGGACGGGACCGCTCTCGTGGGCGCCTACGCCAACGCCGGGGAGCTGGGCGAGGCCTTCCAGCTCGATGCAGGCCAGTGGCGTGCGGCCTGACGTGATTGCGTGGAACACCCTCGTCTCCGGCTTCGCGAGAAATGGTGATATTGGTGTTGCGCTCGATCTATTTGACGAAATGCGACTGAGGAGTGTCAAGCCACGGGTCAGTTCTTGGAACTGCATCATCTCTGGCTGTGTGCAGAATGCACGCTATGATGAGGCTTTGGGCATCTTCCTGGAGATGTGCGAGACTGAGATGCCCGATGCAGTCACTATTGCTAGTATATTCATGGTCGGCTCCGGGATGATCTAGTAGAGCACCACTGGCAGTTGGATGGACGGCGCATTGGCCCATGATGTATCTTTGTTTTACTTTTCTATGTCCTGTTTGATTCGAACAATTAGTGTAATTTTCTCAAACATTGTTGTAATAATTTGAATGATTATTGTTTTATTCGGTGTTGTAATAATAACTAGAATGATTATTGTTTTATGTCAATTGTGATGGAATTTGTGATATGTCATATGATGAAATGTGATGAAATGTGTGATATATGAAATGACAGTTTTAAAGGTTGGGGTTGAGGCAAAGACTAGAACCCTCAAATCCAACCCTTAAAGCAGTTTACGGATTGGGTGTGAGGGTTCTAGTCTTTGACCCTGTTTTTCAACCCTTAAAAGTGTCAAAAACTGGCACTTCTCAACCCTTAAAACTGCTATAAGGGTTTGAGGGTTTGAGGGTTCTACTAGTAATGCTCTTATATGGCCCCTAAAGGTTGTGGTAAAAATGTGAGGAGGTTTCGCAAAAATTGTAACATAATCTACTGAGAAAGCAGACAATATCGTAGGAAGAATCGAGAGGGAATGGGTCAAGTTTGAAGACGAAATGACATATTTTTTCTCTGTTGGTCTTGAATTTTTTTCTGCACTTAACATACATCATTACATGTTCCATGTAAACATTCGGCATTTTTCCGGTTTGTTTGCTATATTGAAGTCATTTAGTGACTTTTTTCTAGCAACTTAGTGAATATAGTTAAATTTTTAATTCCAAGTACTTGCAAAATTGTCAAAAATAGGCTCGAAATCATATTTGTATTCTTAAGTCTATGTAACTATGTTTTGTTCTTATCAAGGAAACAGAGAGGAATTCCAAACTCAGTGTGGCAAGACTCATCCCAAATGTAAAGGGTGAAGTGCAATGTAGATCCCCGAACTATTTCAGAAGTGTCAACTAGGTCCTCGAACTATTCAAAGTGCAAAGAGTGTGCCATTCAGATTCAAAATCAGTTCAACACAAAAGTAATCCAAGACTATATTTTGCCTGGTGTGACACACGTACTCTACTTGGAGAACGTAAATGATAATTTTCATGGTTTGACAACCATCCTTGAAATAGTTGAAGGACCTCACTCTTTACATGTATACACTGTAGGAGCAGTTCTACTGTTTGCATGTGAACCACAATTCCCAATACTCGGGCTAGCAAGCTTGACATGGCATTGTTGGCAAGCGGCAAACCACCACATTCACCAGTCTCTGCAGTATATAATAAGCAGAAGAGCGGCGGCCGGATAGCTTCTGTGGCTGCACGTGGTACGTGTCGAACACCATGGCAGCGGTGCCGCACGTCGTGGTGATCACCTTCCCCTTCGCCTCCCACGCGGTGAAGCTGTTCCGCCTGGCGCGCGCCCTGGCCGCGGCGGCGCCGGCCGCGACCTTCTCCTTCCTCTCCACTGCCGGCTCCATCGCGCAGCTGCAGGAGAAGAACCAGGACGCCCTCGAGGGGAACCTACGCTTTGTCGAGGTGCCGGACGGGTTAATGTCGCCGAGCTCCGGTGGCGCCGCACCGGTTCCTCCGCCGAACCATATGGCGCGTCTGGGGCTCTTCATCGCCGCCGCTGAGGCTGGCGGGGTGAAGGTGGCGCTGGAGACGGCTCGCATTGCTGCCGGCGGTGTCAGGGTCACCTGTGTCGTCGGGGACGCATTCGTCTGGATGGCCGCCGAGGCTGCCGCTGGGGTGGGGGCGCCATGGGTTCCGGTCTGGACCGGCGGTCCGAGCGCGCTCCTTGCGCACCTCCAAGGTGACGCGCTGCGCGACGACATCGGCGACAAAGGTACGCACGCACGGCACGATCGATCATCTATGGATGCATTCATGCCATGGACGGAAGCTTCTTCTTACCTGAGACGAATGCTTGTGAAATAAATGCAGCGGCGAGCCGGGCGGACGAGCTTCTGACCGCGCACCCGGGCCTCGGAAGCTACCGCGTCCGGGACCTCCCCGACGGCTGCGTGTTCGGCGAGATGCACCTGCCAATCGTCGCCCTCTTCCGTCGCGTGGCCGACCAGCTGCTCGTTCCCCGCGCCGCCACCGCGGTGGCCTTGAACACCTTCCCGGGACTCCTCCCGGACGACGTCACCGCTGCTCTCGCCGCGGAGCTCCCGGAGGTCCTCCCCATCGGCCCCTTCCACCTTCTCCCAGTCCCCGGCGACGACAACGCCAACGCGGCCGACCCGCACGGATGCCTGGCCTGGCTCGACGGCCACCCGGCCCACGCCGTCGCCTACGCCAGCTTCGGCACGGTCGTCACCGCCGTGGTCGGAGGGCAGGAGGAGCTGCGCGAGCTCGCGGCCGGGCTGGAGGCGTCGGACGCGCCGTTCCTCTGGTCGCTGCCCAAGGAGTACTGGCCGCTGCTCCCGCCTGGGTTCCTGGACCTCGAGCGCAGCAAGGTGGTGCCGTGGGCGCCGCAGGCGGCCGTGCTGCGGCACGCGTCGGTGGGCGGCTTCGTGACGCATGCCGGGTGGGCGTCGGTGCTGGAGGGCGTGGCCGGCGGCGTGCCCATGGCGTGCCGTCCGTTCTTCAGCGACCAGAGGATGAACGCGAGGATGGTGGCGCACGTCTGGGGTTTCGGCACGGTCTTCGAGCAGCCCATGACGCGCGCGACCGTGGCGGAGGCCGTGTCGTCGCTGCTCGCCGGCGACCAGGGCACCCGGATGCAGGAGAGGCGGGACATGGCGGCCACCGCGTTCGCGGCCGACGGCGGCAGCAGGAAGAATTTGGATAAGCTTCTCAACATAGTCTGTCCACCACAAGATCAAAGCTGTGATCATGTCCACGAAGCAGCAGAGGTGACGAGATGCGCATCGACGACACATGATCATCTGCTTGGTGCTAGCACCTTAGCGCACACATGATCATTTTTGTGGGCAGCACGATGAAATTCGCACTTAAACTATTTAAAATTATCATGCGTTGTCATCGAGTGCAACCAAACCGACCACTACTGACAAGAACCTCTAGTCCAAAGTATTAGAGCTGCTCCACCCTGTCGACCCATTTCATCCGAGACACAAGAGTCGTCCCAACGCGCCGACCCAAACGAATGCTCGTCCACTTTTCTTTCTCGGGGCGACCCATTCCAGGCCCAAATTTGGACAATATTTGCATTGGCACGGACACGAGGCGGACGTGCACGACGCCCGCTTACTCCTCCCCCGGCCCGCCAGTCGATGGCACATAGGCCATTCTCTCCTCCCATCGACAGCAAACACCCGGCCGCCCTACCCCGTCCCGGCCCACATACCTCCCCCCGCAACACGCCACCTTCCAACATCGCCACCACCACCGCCTCGCCACCAGGCTACTGCAGCTTCCCCCG